AGCTTTATTGAGGTATAAAGTCTATACCTTGACTATTCATTTACTAGACCTCTTCATGGAGTAGTTTAGGGCCTTCAGGAGCCTATTTTGGAACCATTCATGGACGCAAGCATGTTTTGGGGTTATGACTTTAGATCTAGACGTCCATGGCCTTATCAGACTAAAAGTTACCAACTTTATTAAGTCTTGGCCCTTCTCCATGCCTTAGATCGCTTTAGGAATTGAGTTTTGGTGTTATTAGCTTCATGGCACCATGCATGAACGTAAAGTTAGCAACTTTACGTGGAAACTTAGTCCTAGGGGACCACATCTATGGGTTGGAAGCATTTAACCCGACTAGAAACGACTGAATGGGTTTAGACTATAGGGGACTTGACGAGTTATTCATACAACTCAACGAGTTGGGTCGTGGACCCCCAACCTTTTCTGTTACTGAGCAAACTCGTTGAGTATAGGAGATGATTCAGCGAGTTGGCCATGGTTTTTGGTTATGAAGATTGATGAACTCAACGAGTTCAAGGATGGACTCAACGAGCTGTGAGTAAATGTCTCAACTCTGTATGAAGGGGAACTCATCGAGTTCATGAAAGAACTCGATGAGTAAGATCGAGATTTCCTGAGTTTCATGGATCAAGGAACTCGGTGAGTTGATGGACCAACTCAGCGAGTTGACTTTGACCATTATGTTGACTTTGACTTTGACCTTTGACCAGAGTTGACCCTTAAAAGGGTTATGAGTATCAAAGTGTAATTAAAATAGATTTTATTTGTAGGAGTTTGAAGAGAGTTAATCTCAGAGCCGAGGAAAGTTCAGCTACTCCACAACATTGAGGTGAGTTACCTTCTAGTAGAAATGGGTCGAAGGCACCAATGTCGACCCACTAGTAAGAGTTATAGTAGAGACGATTGTCTTTGTGATAATTATCTAGGATGCCCCTATTTGTTATGCTTTGTGTGCTAGTATCCTACGATATTATGTGATAGTAGTCGGAGGGGTAGTATAGGCCCCAGTACCGGTTAAAAGGACCGAAAGGGTATGTCAGCACTCAGCACCATGATAAGCTAGGAATTATATGACTTATATGTTTATGTTGTAGTATGTTATATGGTAGAAGTAGGGGTGAAATAGTCCCTGGTACCGGTCAAAATGACCGAAGGGGTAGGCCAGCACCCTAATATGCTAGGCAAGGTACCGTTCGAAAGGACCGAAGGGGTAGGCCAGCACCCTGATATGCTAGGCAAGATACCGGTCGAAAAGATAGAAGGGATAGGCCAGCACCCTGATATGATAAGCAAGTTACCGGCTGAAAGAGACCGAAAGGGGTAGCTAGTACCAGGATATGTTAAACAATATGTTTATTGTAAGGTATGTGGTATGATGGGGGAAGTCACTAAGCTTTGTGCTTACGGTTTTCAATTTTGGTTTTAGGTACTTCCTCTTCGAAGGGAAAGGATCTGACATGATCACAGCGCATCACACCATATTTTTCTAACCAGAGATCTATGGGATTTATACTCTGATATGATTTTGTTATGACATGTTTTGACTATGGATACATTGGTTTTGATATGTATTATTACTATGAGGTTTTCTGACAAATGGTTTTATATTTGTTTAATTTAAAATGAAATTTTTGGTCCGTATTTTGTGGATGTTACATAAAATGTATTGTGATAAGGAAGGTATCCACACCCCTTATAAGGAATACCTAATTCTATTTCTTAGCCTATGTGGGATCAAGTTTAAGGAACCACCTATCTTAGAGGAGACTTATAATATTGTTGAAGACTTGAATTGGATGTTGAGTGATTGAATAGAAGACCTACAATAGTGTTCAGGATCGTTAGATCTTTACGTTGTAACATATGTTGTGTATCAACTACGACATCTTTCGAATTTTTTATTATTTTTTTTACAATCATTTTTACTCAAAATGTTTTAATGTACTAGGATTTTAGGCAAACAAAGATGTTGTGAATTTGAAAAGCATAAAGAAAAAAATTGTTCTGAAAAATAGAGATGTCACACATGCCACATCTTCTGATGCCTCATCCCAAATACTGCCATCATATTCGAGGAGTGACATCATAACCAAGAATATCATCATATTTAAGAATGTCATCATAAACAATAGTGTCATCATATCCAAGAGTATAGATAACTAACAACATTAATGTTGACACATCCCTTGACACAAATGCCTGATACCTTACGACTGATGGGGTTCCTTTATTAGATTTAAGATTGTATTGTACCATTGTAGGTAGCCTAGTTTACCTTATTGTCACTCACCCAACATAGTTCATTTAACTCATGTCATTAGTCAGTTTGTTTATGTCTTTATGATTATTTATTGGGGAGTTATTCTTCGTATTTTAAGATATCTGCATGGGACTTGGTTTCTGACTCTGTTGTTTCCTTCTACATCTTATCTAGATTTGTGTACCTATAGTGATGCTGATCAGGATAGCAATCTGAATAATCTAAGTCCATCACTTGTTTCTGTATTTTCCTTGAATATTCTTTAATCTCATGGAAAAGTAAGAAACATGATGTTGTATCTAGCTCCTCTACATAGGTTGAGTATCGTGTTATGGTTGTAAGTTATGACTACTTGTGAGATTTTTTTATCATGTTGGATTTTTGCAGATATAGATTTTGTATTTCTCACCCCCTCCTTAACGATGTGACAACAAAAATGCTATGCAGATTACGAAAAATTTTGTTTTCCACGAGCAAACAAATCATATTAAGATGAAATGTCATTTCGTTGGTCATCATCTTTAGCTTTGAACCATCACGCTACCATATGTTCCATCGATTTTTCAAATTGCTCATCTTATGAAGTCTCGGTGAATCACGGTTTCTCTTCTTGACAACTTTCAAATGTTCATTGTTGCCCTATTGTGAGTTTTGAAGTGGAGTCACCATAAAAATAAGTTTATTGGTCTCTTTTAGTATTGGACTTTTTGTTTAGCATTTTAACTAGGTTAACTCTTAGTAAGTTTTTCTATTATAGTTTTATTTCCCTTTCTTTGTAAACACAAATTTCTTTCAATAATAAACCCTAATCATTTTCTCTGGTTTATTATTGATTAACAGATAGCACAGGTCACCTCCTTGCATTAGAGAGACATACGTCACAAAGTATATATGTTAAAACATGCACCTTTAGATTAAAACATCTTTAAACTATCATCATTATGATTATAAAACTTTCATAGAACATGGGTATCTCGTCTTCAAACTTGAAATGATGCATATAGTGTGTAATTGTACATATACATGTAACTTCCAAGTATCGTAATTCACAAATATAACATTAGTGAAAAAAATCATTATACTTTCTGACGTTTCTTGTTTTGGAACCCCTATGAACTAACGTGATTGTTAATCAAATGTCCAATCTTGTTTTGTATTTAAAAATCCCATGTTTGGAGCTTGAAAAAACTCCTAACAATATTGTTTAGAGTTTTTAGTCATCATTTACTCATTTAAAAGTGTCATAACCACATAAATTAACACATCAAAGTTTAGGTACAATAATCCCCAAATTGATTCTCATAAATCTTAGAATTTGCCCATTTTACCATTTAAAGAAGAGTATGAAGAAGATGAAGGGACCTCACAGTTTGATCCATGTAGTGTACCATTTGATTAAGTGCTATTGAAATAGGACAAGTTTATATACAACTTTTTAATATCATGGTAGTGGAGTGGTGTTAGTATTAACGTTGGCATCTACTTACAACCCCTTGTGTGTCGCACTTATAGATTCGTGTATTCATATGAAGGAGGTATAAAGTTGTATTATAAGAATCTAACGTACACCCCTTTGTGTGTTGCCAGTGGCGAGGCTACATACATCAAAGGTGAGTCATTTGACCCACTTATTTTTGTATTTTTATAAAGGATAATATAAAAATATAAACTGTAAACTACTTTAAACATTTTAAATGAACCGTCTTAATGCTTTGGGCAAAAACAAATATGCATAAATCAAGATTTTGAAAACCTATTTTTGTTTTTTTATCGGTTCATTTAAATAGTGAACTCTGTTGTTTTACGTTCTATACTCACCACTGTATGTCGCACTTATAGATTCGTGTATTCATATGGAGGTATGAAGTTGTATTATAAGAATCTACACTTTAGTTATAAGATAGTAACATACTCTGAATTTTATAGTTGTGTATATCCAGTTATAGATTTAAAGTTGTATCATAAGTATGTAATCTTATATGGCACATGTTTTTACCTTATATACAATGTATGCCAAGTATTTCAAGGATGCTTAAATGGGTTTAAGATATACAATGAATGCCAAGTATTTGAAGGATGCTTAAATGGGTTTAAGAGATGTTGGGTTTGGTGTTATTCAAATAATTTTGGAAGTATAGTTATCTAATGTCCTCTCCATTAACATAAGAGGTTTGGGGTGTGATTCCAAAATAGGTTAAATTCTCTTTGTTGTTCGAATAGGATCGGTTTTGCATTCAAGAATGTAAGGTGGATGTTTTTGATCAGTTCTTTTATCTCTCAATTTGGAGTGAATTCACGAGATATATTACCATTTACCAATCTTAGCAATGATACATTCAATTATACAAAGCACAAATCCATCAAAGAAATAGATTTTGTGTTCTTGGAAATACTTCTCAATTTCTTCTGAAAGAGCTTCAATCTTGTGTTCTTGGAAATACTTCTCAATTTCTTGAAATTTGATTCAAATTAACAATATCTCTTTTGTCACTAAATTGAGGATCCAAGTTTGTTGATGTGCATCCATGAATTGTACATAATTGAATCAGATATGCTTGGGAAATTAACAAAAAGATTGAACAAGATTCTTAACATCAGTGCAGAAGTCAACTATGTGAAATTATGGAAGATGAACAACATCAACACAAAACGATTCATACAAACAAAAAAAATATTAAATTTAAACTGGACATAGATCAAGATTTACTCAAAACTACTCCTACGAGCATACCCAATTTCACTTCTTCGCCTTTCTGGCTGCTGTAACTTTCTTTGGTGTTGCTGCTTTAGGCTTTCCGCTCTTAGCTGACGCCTTCTTTGGGGCCGGCTTGGGAGCCACCGCCGCCGGTGCCTTCGCCGGCGTTGATCTGGTGGATGCTTTTGTTGCCGGAGCGGCAGGAGCTTTCTTTCCTGGGGTTGATTTCGCCGATGTTTTAGCTACCTTAGCAGGCTTCGTTGGAGTCTTGGCTTTCGGTTTCGCAGCTGGCTTTGCCGCAGCTTTGGGAGCCGTCGACTTAGGTTTTGCGACGGGCTTGGGCTTAGCAGCTGCCTTCGGCTTTGCCGCTGCTTTGGGTTTCGGTGCTGCCTTGGGCTTGGCGGCGGGTTTCTTCTTAGCTGGCGCTTTCTTCGCTGCTGTCTTCGGCTTGGCCGCAGCCTTTGGCTTACCGGAAGCCTTAGGCTTTGCAGCAGGTTTCTTCTTCGCCGGGGCAGCTGCTGCCGGAGCTTTCTTCGCCGATAACTTATAAGACGCCTTGACCTTAACAAGCTTCCCGTCGGCGACTAGTCTCCTCAATTGAACCAACAAAACCTTCTTAAAATTCGCCGGAAGATTCTTTTGTTTCTCTTCAACGAACTTCGCGATCGCGTACTGACTCGAACCGCTCTTCTCCTTCAACGTAACAATGGCGTCTTTGATCATCTAAAAACAGAATCAATCAACATCAAAAACCCACAATCAGATCCATAAACACGTATCTCGATAACGAAAACATAAAATTAACATAACAAAACAACAAAATGTAATCATTTCATACCTCAAAGTAAGGAGGATGCAACGACGGAGTTCTAGGTTTGCTTTTCCCTGATGTTTTCCTCGTTTTCTTCGGTTTTCCTTCAGCTGCTCCGGCAGCAGGTTCTTCTACTGCAACCGTTACAGCTGCGTCGACAGCCGGTACGGCAACTTCCGCCACCACAATTGGTTCTTCCGTCGCCATTAATCTGCGATTATCTCTAGGGTTCAACAATTTAGGGCTCCGACAAATGAATGTGGATCTGTTACTGCTAATGAAATTAGGATCGATCGAATTTAGTGCTTGTGTGAATCTGATGAATTTGCGGGGTTTTAAATAATATAAAGCCGGAGAAGACATATCCAAAAGCTGCGACTGTATTGGTCTATGATATATCACACGGATCGTCTACGTCACTGCACTTGAATACTAGCCGTAAGATTTTTTGGCTATCGACGGTGGAAAAGGAATTGAGATTAAATTGGATGATATGCTTTGCATATTGGTGTGTTTCTATGCACAATTGATTTGGGCATAACTTGAGTTATTCTTAATGAATTTTAAAGAAAATTTGATGGTTATGTAGGGAATTAAGTTAGCTTTCTAGAGAGTATTTTCTTGAAAGCTGAAGTTAAAGGGATTGGAAGGAAATTAATTTGTAAGCCACGGTGGTCAAACATGGTGTATATTTGTAGTTAGAGATGGTTTCCGAGTGTTTTCAAGACAATGTTATGACACATCGTGCATGTTTGATAGCCATTTGATGCTAGGTTAACTAAAGATCCAAGGGAAACAGGAATCGTTGAAATTCGATTAGATATGAGTATAAAATGTAGGTTTGATCGGTGTCGAAGATGAACAAACTAAATCATGATATAAAAGAAATAATATGAAGTGTTTGGCATGTTGTATTTTAATTGTTTGTATCATTATATGTATGTGAATATGCTATGGTCATTACAATATATAATATTATATAACATATGTTTTTTGTTTCTTGAAAAAATTAAGAGGTATGAATTTTAATACACAGGGTACAACTATTAAATACATACATTCTAAATGTCACATTTAAAAGCTCAACCTCATTTTTCTCTTCCATCCCCCTTATCTTTCATAATCCTATTCAACCAAAATCTTCCCCGACCTCTTCATCATACCTTCTTATTTTCAACTTCTCTCATATATGGTTCATCATCCTCGCATTGCCTTCTTTGTCTCCTTCACCTTCAAACTACAATTATTGATCTCGCCAATGATTTTCCATTTGACTAAATTTTATGATTGTCCTCTTCCATCTAATAAATATATAATGTTGTATAATTAAAGGCAACATGACATTTGAGCATCTTCATCGTCACCCTTTATCTCTTTGATTCCATGTATTAGATCATGTTGGTTATTCAAAATTTAACAAATAAGACAAGCAATATGTAACACTTGTTCCAGGTATTATTTGATGTAGTCAATTTTAGGGTTTTTGGTGCATGGACTCAACGAGTTGGGAGTACACCTCTTCAAGTAGGGACATTTAACTATGGACACGGATCGGGACCAGCTCAGCGAGTTGGAGTTGTAGAGAAGAAACCTTAATATTAGGGTTTTCCTCATATATAAAGGTCATTAGTTGCCCTTGTGGCCTCCCTTAGTACCCTATCTCCCTACATAAAGCATTTTGCAGCCGTGAACACTCTTGAGTGAGAGTAAGAACATATATGAGTGATTTTTGGTGGTTTGTGAAGGATTTCTAGAGCTTGAAAAAGAAGGAGCAAGGATAGAAGCAGTAGATCTGACATTTATATTGTATTTGCCACAATCTTGAGGTATAAAGTCGATACCTTGAGCTTTAGATACTTAGATCCCTCTTCTTGGAAGTAAATGGCCATTTTTGGTGCAATATGGAGTCATACTCGGATATGGACTTATCACAAGGATATGGTTATAGATCTGGACCTCTTTAGGTCCCCAATGGCATAAAGTTTCCTCCTTTAGGCAGTTCAATCCCTTTCCATGTAGTAGAATCTTGTATGAAGGCTAGTTTTGGTGTTATGGCCATGTGAGGCCTTGCATGCACGTAAATTTTGCAACTTTACATGACATCTACGCTAGGGAAGGCTAGATCTGAAGTTTGGGATTCTAAATTCCACTAGAAAAAGGCCGAAATCGAGAAGGACTAAAGGAACTCGTCAAGTTCTTTAATCAACTCGACGAGTCGGTTAAGGGGTTTTTTACTGGAGGGGTTTGCGGTCAGGATTTTGCGGTTGTAAGTTTATGGCCGCAAACATTATAAAACTCGACGAGTCACTCAAGCAACTCGGCGAGTTGACGAGTTATGTAAGGAAACTGTTAGCTACAGTACACCATTTAGGGTGACAAATGTCAGAACATTCTAACGCCTGAAGAACGTTGTGTATAGGCATTTCTTGCCAAATAGCATGGTTATAAAACTCAAATGGAGTATCAAAAACACATTGATTTACGGGGTTTTTCATACGTATTGGCAATTTTGTATGTATATTAATTAACTACTTAAGGCATAAAAAACCTCATCATGATACAATTTTGGAACTTCTAAACCACTACCCACATACGGAAAAACATAAATTTTCTAGAAACAAACATTGGTCTTGATAGAAGGCTACATTTATACCAGTAGAGAATATGGGATTTTCTAGAAACCAACAAACAAAAACAAACCATTTCGTTTTAAGCTCATGCAAACATTGTCATTTAATACTTATGAAACTCACCAGCTTATATGTTGATCTACTATTTCAAAACTACTTGTATGTCCCAGGAATTCCGTAATTGTAGGTAACAAACAACTTTTGAAGAAGGGACGTTGTGGCGCTAGTTTAAATTCATATTTTGGCATCATATTGTAATTGGTTTTGAACGTGTACCTTTTAAACAATGTAAACTTTCAATTATATCATTTGATGATTATAGGTAGTTGATAGGAAGCAGCGCGAGACATACATAGTCAGTTTATCATTCCAGCATTCGAGAGGTGAGTCTTCTCACCATACCAATGGGTCTAAGGCACTAAGGTCGGCCCATTTTATGAGATGTGGTATATTAGCCATAGTAGATATATGGGATATGATAGTTAACTCTATGATAATTTGTATGTTAGTGATTTTGTGATGCTTGCATGAAAGACCATGGGGGAGCCCATGGTATTTGGATATAAGACCATGTGGGGGAGCCCATGGTTGTCCGGTATGGAAAGACCATGGGGGGAGCCCATGACACTTAGGTGTAAGACCATGTGGGGGAGCCCAAGGCATCCTTATGCAGGGATATGTGGTAGAGATAGCCTATGGCTAACTTGATATGTGGTGTGGTAGATATAACTTTATATAGCTAGTATGATATGTACTATATGGTTGTGTATGTGGGGTATGCTCTGGGGGACTTATTAAGCATTAGCTTACAGTTTGTGGATTTGTTTCAGGTACATATGAGCCCTAGGGCAAGGATAAGGCGTGATGGCGCGGCGTGCACTCTCTCACCGATGTTTTCTGGGACACTCTGATGTTTTGAAATAAACTTGTAATGAATGTAGATTTTGTGACAACCCGATATTTCAACTATATGTAAACGACCTAAAAAGTCAAGTATTTCAACCACGTTCATTATAATGAAATTAACTTCGAAAATAAAATATCCAAAAATCACTAATTAAATGACCTATTATGTTAGATGTCATTAAACTGTGATCATACGTAAAAAGAACGCCCAAATCCGACTTCGTATATTGAAGTTATGACTTTTCCAAGTTCGGCTTAACGACAGACGGCTAAAAACTCGAATCGGAGATCGAGCGACTTTTGGCCGGAATGACCTAAACGAGAATCGAAGGTCTCGACAATGGTATTTCAGCGGTAAAAAGTCTGGCAAAAACTGACGTCAGATAAAGAAGTTATGAATTTCTAAAAGAAATTTTCTTACCGCGACCTTTTAAAAATAAATAATAAAAATAATTTCAAAATTTGCCGACGGGATCTAAACGAAAGTTGTAGAGTATGGTCTCACCTTCGCGTGGATATAAAGAACGTCGAAAACGGAGTTCGTATGAAGAAGATATGAATTTTTGAAGTTTATTAAATAATTAAAATATAAATTTTAATTAAAGCCCTTGGTATTATCCGAAGGGGAGTCACCAGATAGGGCCGAGTTACGCCCAGCGTACGCGAGGCCTTGGCCTCGGATCATCCACGTCGCGCCTATGCGAGGCTATGCCCCGTCCCATCCGAGCTCCGATGCAGTCGAGGATCCGGTTATGCGTGACGTACGCGTATGCCCAGCGTACAGGCGTACGAGGTCGGTTCCCAGCCCCTATAAAAGGGATGCGAGGGTTCCGAAGAAAGGGCTCCATTTCTCTCATTTCTATTGCGTTCTTGCCTCGTTTTTCGTGCCCGTGCTACCCCGAAGCCCCGATCACTTTGCTCAAGTCCCGAGGGTCGTTTGTGCTCCCGAGATTCCTGAGAATCCCGAGAAAATCCGCCTTCTCGAGTCGAAATTCTGTCCGGTTTTCATCCCGCCTCCTCCGATCTTTCAAGTGAGTTCATACCCCTATAATTCACACTTTTAAATGTTTTATGAGTACTTTTATATGCTTTTAAGGGGGGGGTAATACAAGTAAAACACTCGATTATTATTGTGTGTTATATAAACTTTCACTATACGCGTTTTATCAACGGAATCATATGTGATTTATAACTGTTATAGGGAACCTTTCATATGCAAATTATACCACGACAACATTTTATCTTTTGAAATGAGAAATTATTTATGTATTTATATAAATCAGACACTCTGCTTATACTATATTTATGTGTGTTGGTATTGGCACTATAAAAACTAAATTTTTCATAACAAGTGAGCATTTTCACTAAGGGTTTATTATACAAACGAAACACACTTTTAGGAAACTATAATAGGTATAGTTTTACGAGAATACTACGAACTTTTACATACATGGAAATACTATTTCAAGAAGCTACTTTCATAACAATAACAAACGAACATTTTCACACATAAATATGTTTTATACTAAGATTTGTGAGACATTAAACTTCACGTAGGCACGAGTACACATTTCAAGTCCTTTTATTATATACCAAAAATCCCTTGGAGGGGGAGCATGGTGTTTGTGTATAGATCTATACGGGCTTGACAACCCCGCTCCCTGACTGTTAGCTACAGTACACCATTTGGGGTGACAAACATCAGAACATTCCAACACCTGAAGAACGTTGTGTATAGGCATTCCTTGTCAATAGCGTGGTTA